TAGTTTGCTGCATCAACCAACTCTTTCTTTCATGAAAGGTGAATTTCTCTATGGTATGTGATGCTATTTACAGCTTTTTACCCATAGTAGAACTTTCAAAATTAGACTCAATCTGTTCAAACCCTATTGTTGCTATATCAACTAAGTTTATATAATATTCTAAATCCTTTATATTCATTTCAACAATCTTCATAGCATCTTCACCATGAGAAGATCCCATTTCAAGAAATCACTTTCTTTGTTCATCCATAAGAGGCACCTCCTCATCTGTTAACGTTTTATCATGAGGTTGCAGCAACTCAGTCCCATCTTCAGGGTCCAGTTCTAATTCTATTCTCGTGTTATTTTCACATCACAATTACTTCCTCCACTGAAGTTGTGAACCCCTTCAAAGTCATTCATCAGGGATGGAACTAACTTCTCCCAAACTCTTGTTTATGCTTATATTTTGACTTCTTCCCATGAATCCCAAATGTCTTAATGGCATCTAAAATGGTGATTCTTCCTCAGAAGGTCTTCAGTTTACTTTTCCCACAGCCATCAGAGGTATCACTACCTACAACAGCTATAACTCTACAAAATGTTTAGTTCTTAAATAATAAGGCTTGAAAGTCAAAATTACTCCTTTGATCCATGGGCTGCAGAACAAATGTTATGTTAGCAAACATGAAAATGACATTAATCTTATTGTACACCTTCATCAGAGCTCTTCGGTGACCAGGCGCCTTGTCAATAAGCAGTAATATTTTGAAAGGAATCTATATTTCTGAGCTATAGATCTCCACAGTTGGCTTAAAATATTCAGTAAACTATGTTGTAAACAGATATGCTGTCGTCCAGGCTTGACTGTCCTATTTATAGAGCACAGAATAAATTTAACATAATTCTTAAGGGCCCTAAGATTTTCAGAATGCTTTATGAGCACTGGCTTCAAGTCACCAGCTGCATTAGCCCCTAACAAGAGAATCATCCTATCTTTTGAAGCTTTGAAGCCAGGCATTTGTTCTCCTCTCTAGCTATCAGTTCTGGATGGCATCTCTTCCAATAGAAGGTTGTTTCATCTACATTGAAAACCTCTTGTTTGGTGCAGTCACCTTCATTAATTATCTTAGCTAGATCTTCTGGATAACTTGCTGCAGCGTCTATATCAGCACTTATTTCACCTTAAGTTATGGAGACAGCTTCTTCCCTTAAACCTCATAAACCAACATTTGTCGCTACAAGTTTTCCTTCTACATCTTCCTTACCTCTTTCAGCCTTCCTAGAATGAAGGAGAGTTAGAACCTTGCTCTGGATTAGGCTCTGGCTTAAGGGAATGTTTGTAGCTAGTTTGATCTTCAATCTAGACCACTAAAACTTTCTCCATTTCAGAAATAAGGCTGTTTTGATCTTTTTATTCATGTTTTCACTGGAATAGCACTTTTAATTTCCTTCAAGAACTTTTCTTTTGCATTCACAACTTGGCTATTTGGTGCAAGAGGACTACCTTCTGGCCTATCTTAGTTTTCAACATGCCTTCTTCACTAAACTTAATCATTCCTGGCTTTTGATTTGAAGTGAGAGACATGCAACATTTCTTTTCACTTGAACACTTAGAGGTCAGTGTAGGGTTATTAATTGTCCTAATTTCAATATTGTTATGGATCAGAGAATAGGGAGACCAAGAGAGAGGGAGACAAAGGGAGGAATGGCTTGTTGGTGGAACAAACAGTACACAAAAAAGCATTACTCAATGAATGTTTGTAGCACCCTAAAACAATTACAATAGTCACATTAAAGATCACCAATCACATTTCACCATAATAAATGTAATAATAATTTTTAAAAGTTTGAAATATTGTGAGAATTACCAAAATGTGACAGAGACATGAAGTGAGCAAATGTTCTTAAAAAAATGATATTGATAGACTTGCTGGATGCAAGGTTGCCACAAACATTCAATTTGTTAAAAAATGTGATATCTACAAAGCACAATAAAATGAAATATACTCAACATTGTATTAAAAGCTCTTGCCACATCAATTAAGCAAGAAAATTAGATAAAATCATCTAAATTGGAAAAGGAAAATAATTTTTTTTCCATTTGGAGATGGCATAGTCTTTTTTTGTTTGTTTGTTTGTTTGTTTAATTTTTTACTTTTTTATAAACATATAATATATTTTTATCACCAGGGGTACAGGTCTGTGAATCGCCAGGTTTACACACTTCACAGCACTCACCATAGCACATACCCTCTTCAATGTCCATAACCCCATCCCCCTCTCCCAACCCCCCTCCCCCCAGCAACCCTCAGTTTGTTTTGTGAGATTAACAGTCACTTATGGTTTGTCTCCCTCCCAATCCCATCTTGTTTCATTTATTCTTCTCCTACCCCCTTAACCCCCCATGTTGCATGGAGATGGCATAGTCTTATATAGAAAACCCTAAGGGCTCCACTAAAACATCAGAATTTTTAAAAATGAGTTCAGTAGAGTTGCAATATTTACAATAAATGAAATGAAATCAATTACATTTCTATAAACTTGCAGTGAACTGTTCCAAAATAATAATATGAAAATAATTATTTTATAACAGTGTCAAAAAGAATAAAATACTTAAGAATAAATTTTACAAGATGCATAAAATTCTGAAAATCAGCAAATATTGTTGAAAGAAATTAAAGGAAATCTAAATAAATGAAATTTCATAGATCTTTGTGAATTAGAAGTCTCAATACTGTTAAGATGGCAATATTTCCTAATGTGATGTAATCTACAGATTCAATTAATTCTATCAGAATCACAAGCAGTTTTTTTTTAAAAGACTTTATTTATTTATTTGACAGAGAGAGAGAGAGAGCACAAGCAGGGGGAAAGGCTGAGGGAGAGGGAGAAGCAGGCTCCCGCAGAGCAGAGGAAGCCCCATGTGGGACTCGATCCCGGGACTCTGGGACCATAACCCGAGCCAAAGGCAGTGGCTTAACCAGCTGAGCCACCCAGGCGCCCCACACAAGCAGTTTTGTAGAAACTGATGAAGTGACTCCAAAATTTATGTGGAAACTCAAGGGACAAAAATAATCCAAAACGATCTTGAAAAAAAAATAAAGTTGGAGGACTCACTCTTCTCCCTTTTTAAACTTCTACAAAGTAAAAACACTGCGGTACTTAGGAAAGAAAGACATATACATCAATGGAATAGAATCAAAGTCCAGAAATATACCCTTACATTTAAGCACAATTGATTTCCAACAAGGGTGCCAAAATAAGTCAATGAAAACAAAAAACAATCTCTTCAACAAATGGTGCTGGAACAACTGTATATCCATATGCACAAGAGTAAATATGGACCTTAACTCACAGTATATTCAAATATTAACTCGAAAGGAATTAAAGATCTAAATTTAAGAACTAAAACACTAACACCATTAGGAAAATCAGAGGAATAAAATCATTGTAACTTTGGACTAAGGAACAGTTTCTTAGATACGACACAGCACAAACAAAAATAACAAAAATAGATAATTGGACTATATCAAAAATTTTAAACTTTTGTGTTTTAGTGAACATCATCAAGAAAGTGGAAAAACAGCCCACACAATAGGAGAAAAATATCTGCAAGTCTTAAAATAGGACTTAATCTAAAATGTATAAAATCTCTCATAATTCACCAGCAAAAAAACAAATAATATAGGTAAAAATGGGCAAAGGATTTGAAGACAGTGTTCTCTAAAGAATATATACAAGTGGCCAATAACACGTGAAAAATTATTATTCAGAATTAGCCATTAGGGAAATGTAAATCAAAACCACAATGAGATATGTCTTTATACCCACTAGGGTATCTATAATTAAAAAGATAGACAATAACAAGTGTTGGCAAGAATGTTGAGAAATTAGAATGCTCATACATTGCCAGAGGTAATGTAAAATGTACTGGCCACTTTGGAAAATATTTTGCAGTTCCTTGAAAATTTAATCACAAAAATTTAAATAAATAGCAAAACTAAAAAAAAATCTCTTCAGTTTGCATTTTCCTCTCTTTTGCCGCCATCCTTTTTTCATTTCTCTTTATCTCAGCTCTCACTTCTGATTATTTGGAATGCAATCTATTGAAAACTCACTCTTGCATTCTGTGGTAAGTATTTTTCCAAAACACATCTTTCTCTTATCATAACTGATGCTTATCTCTTGCATTTATATTGCTATCACTTATTTGTTTCTTTTTTTATTTTAATGTACCTAAATGAGAGTAAATCTTACAATATTTGCCTCAAAACAATGTAATAAATTCTGTAATACCTTAAATATATTTATAAGTGCTTAGAATTATCCTCCTAAACTTTGAGTTGGAAGCATGGATTTGTGCATTTATTTCATAAGTTTAATTCTGACACAACCTGAGGAAAATACAGAGAATAATGAGACTTTAATCAGGGCTGAAAAGAAAATTTGGACTCCATATATATTTGTTCTAATATTTAATATCTAATATTAGATATTATATAAATATTAAATATTAATATTTAATATCTAATATCTAACAAATATCTAATTTGTTAGAATCATGACACTAGACATAGGTATTTCCCCAAACCTCAGTATAAAAATTTTTATCTGATCTCTATCCAGAGCAAAATGTTATGTCTACCATAACATTGTTCTCAACACTGGAGGGAAAGAGTCCATCTAGTCATTGTCAAAAGATTCTGAACCTAAAGACAAGAATATTTCAATAGGTCAAGGGCCACTGTGTATCACAGTGTATAACCCAGTTTATGATACTGGTATTAGCTGGGGTTTCTTTATTCCTGAGGTTCCTCTTTGGTTTTAGTTGAGAGGCAGTCTCCATAAATAAAATTGTTAATATTTCAGTTGAAAATAATAAAATAAAGAAAAATAAACCTGAAATTGAAGTTGATTCCTGTCTCTAATCAGGTTGTTTCTTTCATGTTAGATTTTATAGATACAAAGAGAGATCTCTTCAATCTGTCACACTCTTGAATATTTATATAATCTTGGTTATGGCTTTTTGTAATCTTCCACCCATGATGCAATGTATGCAAGCACCAGGGACAATAACCAACTGTCCACTTGGACTGGAATATTTGACTCAGGTATAGTAATGTGTTTCTTAACTTACTTGAGCAGTAATAATGTGAATATGAACATATTCATGTGAATATATATAATATGAATATAAATAATATGAATTTGATCATCTCAAAGTATAATTTGTGTTATAGGAAAAATATCAACTGTAGATTAAAATACTATACATTCATTGACATTAAGATTTTTACATTTAATTTTAACTTTTGATGGAGATTTTAAATTTACATTGTAAATAATACAACATTGTGATTTACAAATGTATTTCCTGTATTTCCATTTAAAAATAAATAGGAAATTGGATTTTGCAGAATCTAAGTAAAAACTGGCTTTAGGAATCTTCAGTTCATCTAACTGCTTAGGTATTAGAAGCCTGGTATGCAAATGTGACATGTGCACACTAATACTAGGAGGATGTCTCCAGTTCTCCTGCAAACTTAATGGCACTGAATTACTATTTTGTTTATTCAATCAATTCTGATTTAATTTCCTATAATGCTGTTGATGAATAATTATCTTTGGCATTTTTACATGATTAACATTAGCCACATCTCATTTTTCAAATCTTTAAAACTAAGGAGGACGCCCCTTGGCGGATTAGTCTGTTAAGCATCTATCTGCCTTGAGTTCGGGTAGTGATCCCAGGGCCCTGGGATGGAACCCTCAGAGTCGGGCTCCTGCTCAGTGGGAAGTCTGCTTCTCCCTCTCCCTCTGCCCTCCCTCTGTTCATGACCTCTCTCTCTCACACTCTCTCTTTCTCAAAGAAATAAATAAAATATTTGAAAAAAAAACTAAGGAGAATATATGTTCCTTCTTTAAAAATTTATCTACATTTTCATTGCTTAATTATAAACTTATCACAAACAATGATATAAATCTAAGAAGATACAATTTTAAATGTGGATAAAAATTGCATTAAATTTTTTACTTCAAAATATAGTACAGATATTTCTCTCTGAATTAAAAATTATTTTTATTAATACGTCTTTAAAAAATTTTATGAACCAAATATTGAGTATATTAACAATAGAACAAAAATACACCTTGCAGACTATCTCATAATATTTTTTCACTTACTTTTTTCCATTTTTTAATTCCACTTAGTTAACAGTGTTGTATTAGTTTCAAGTGTACAATATTTGTGATTCAACTCTTCCATACATCACCCTGTGCTCATCAGAACAAGTGTACTCCTTAATCCCCATCATCTATACCACCTTCACTGCCTTTTCTTATGGTAAAAAAAAAAAAAAATGTTAAAACTTCACATTTAAATTAATAGGCAGCAAAATGCTTCTTTTTTTTTAAGTTCTTTTTTTTTTTTAAAGATTTTATTTATTTATTTGACAGAGAGAGATCACAAGTAGACAGAGAGGCAGGCAGAGAGAGAGAGAGAGAGAGAGAGAGAGAGAGGGAAACAGGCTCCTCGTTGAGCAGAGAGCCCGACGCGGGACTCAATCCCAGGACCCTGAGATCATGACCTGAGCGGAAGGCAGCGGCTCAACCCACTGAGCCACCCAGGCGCCCGGAAGTGCTTCTTCTTAAGGAAGCCTTAACTATGGCAGAAACTTTTTAATATTTTCTATCCTAATAAATAAAAAGCCATAATTCCATTCCTTAGTGTTTGGCAGGTACCAGTGAGTTGGGTATGTCTCCATGTATTTCACACTTATTAAGCTTACTTAGTGGGTGTATATTTCATGATTATTGCTCCCTTACATGCAAAGGAGGAGATCTAATCAATCCATCCCAATTTCTCTATGTCTGAAATCCCTTAGCTACCAGATCTTTTGGTTTAAAGAAATGCTGGAATGATTTCAAAACCTACTTAAGTGTTAGGTACGCAGGGACAGAGCAACAACTCATAAAGACACCATATAAGATCTGAGTGTTGCCCAAGCTATTTTTTAATTATTTTAAGATATAAGCCATGGTAATAGGTGAAAAGCAGTCAGAAGCTAAAGCTTTTAAACACTTTACAAGACCAAATCCCCTGATGGTGTAGCCAGTTTTATACATCCACCAGAGGGTCCTGCCTTCTTTGAAGTAACATTAACACTGCTCAGATGATTGCATTCTGACCCTCAGTTCGTGTTTTCTTTACAGTTTCACATCTCTATGCCACCCATCTTTTCAGATTTCTCATGCTCCAGAATTCAGATTGTTTGTTATCTTTTCTCTGTCCACACATATCTGTAGGCAGCCCTGAAAGCCCTTTGTTGATTCAGAGTGTTTACAGAGACATGTAGTTAAACTCTCCTAGTGAGGTATCACTCCCACACTCCCACAACCCTCCCAATATTCAGGAAGAAGCTAGAAAATGCAATAGTAAAAGATAGAAAGGAACTCTAAACTTTGAGGCTAATAGTCTCAACTTAGAAGATGACCTTGACTCTGTAATCATTGTATTCATTACACAAAATATTTAAACTCCTTATGCGCACGTAATACCTGCTTCTACATCCATTGTTTCAAGCTCATCTTTCTTTGGGGTAATCATGTTTGTCTTTGACAGCTACAAACTAAAAATGTACTTTTATCAATAAGGTTTCTCAAAAACATTTATAAAACTAGCTTTGAAAAAATCTAGATTGTTCCTTAGAGCAACATTTGGATTAGTCATTATATTTTCTCACTGTGATATTGGTCTGTGTAAATAACCAATGTAGTGATTCTTTTTTTTTTTTAAGATTTTATTTATTTATTTGACAGAGAGAGAGATCACAAGTAGGCAGAGAGGCAGGCAGAGAGAGAGGGGGAAGCAGGCTCCCCGCTGAGCAGAGAGCCCGATGCGGGGCTCGATCCCAGGACCCTGACATCATGACCTGAGCAGAAGGCAGAGGCTTACCCACTGAGCCACCCAGGTGCCCCCAATGTAGTGATTCTTTAGTTCCTTACTGCTTGGGTTTTTGTTTTTTGTTTTGGTTTGGTTTTGGTTTTGGTTTTTAGTATGGTTGACATATAATGTTATATGAATTTCAGTTGTATAACTTAGTGATTTGACAAAGTTATACTTTGTGCTATGTTTACCACAAGTGAAACTATCAAGTGAAACTGTCCTGTTAAATCCACCACTATTACTGTATCATTGACTATATTCCTTATGTGGTGCCTTTTATTCCTGTGATTTAGTCATTGTATAAGAAGCCGTACCTCCCACTCTCTTTCATCCATTTTTCCCAACTTCCCATATCCGAGTCCCATCAGGCAACCAATACAGTTCTCATATTTGTAGGTCTGACTCTGCTTTTCATTTGTTTATTCATTTGATAGGGTTTTTTAGATTCCACTTATGAGTCAAATCGTATGGTATTTATCTTGCTCAGTATGACTTATTTCACTTAGCATAATACCCTCTAGGTCCATCCATGTTGTCTCAAATGGCACAATTCCATCCTTTTTATGGGAGCATAATATTCCATTGCGTGTATATATACTGCATTTTTCTTATTCATTTGTCTATTGATGGACACTTAGGTTACTTCCATATCTTGGCTATTATAAATGATGCTGCAACAAACATAAGGTTGCATACATATTGTTGTTTTAATTTTAATCTCTGCAGTCCACCAAGTGGCAGGGGGTTGAAATCCCTCTTTTCTTTTTTGCATTTGTCTATTCATAGGATTGTCAGATAAAATACAAGACACACAGTTACATTTGAATTTCAGATAAATAAATTTTTTTTAGGTTAAGTACTTTCCATGCATTATTTGGCATATATTTACAGTAATAATTACTCAGTATTTAACTGAAATTCAATTATTTAACTGAGCATCCTGGGTTTTTTGTTTTTTGTTTTTTTTTTAATTCTTTGTTTTATTTTGTATTACTAAATCTGGCAAAGCGTTATCAATTTGGTCACAGAAAATCACTTACAACATGTAAATTCTTGTATACCTCACTATCTTTCACATGGAATAGAAGACCTTTTCCCCCTCATCCTTTACTTTTCAAAAGAGAGTATCAAGCAATTTTACCCCCTTGCATGATAGGTTTGGGTTTCTATTTAAGTCATCTTTATAATTATTTTTAACCTATAATTTTGCTCTGGGTAAATGTCTAACAGTACTTGTAAATTATTTAAAATTCAATAAAAACATTTTTAGAGCATACTATGTATGGATAGCTAAAAAAACACTTCACACTTAGACTAATATATAACATTTAACAGAAAAAATGAGAGATGTTGATAAGGGTCAATTACTTTAAATATCCTAAATATAGGTATTAATGTATATGTGTATATGGTAGGTGCTTTAAGTTTAGTTTAAAGTTTAGGTTTAGTTTAATTACTTCATACCATCTATCTTTATTTTCTACTCTATTAGATAAATCAGTTACTAGTGTGTCAACATTTTAATCTTCTGGAAGGTATGTGCCAAACACACTGATATATTCACTCTTGAATATGTAACTTCTTGTGCTGTAGTTCAGTCACTTCCTATAAATTAAAGTGCTTAATGTGTCTGGGGAAAAATAAATCTTGAAATATGAACAAATATATAGACATAGAATATATGGACTCATAGTTGATGATAAGATAAATGCAACAGTAGTTTTCTCATGGAAAAGGACAAACATATTGGCTCCAGATCACTACTGAAAATTCTAGTATGCACTGTTAGTCTTGCTCAACAGTAGGTCTATTTCCTGAAAGGGTTTTCCCATCCTAAATTCCTCAAATACAGGTATTTCAGAGAAGCAGTGATTCCATATCCTTCAGGAATTCTACTAGTAGAAGCAGAATCCAAGTAAGTTTCTACGCAGTCCAATGCCACTGCCAAGTCTGAGAAATTGTTCTTTAGAATGCAACTGTTTATCTTTATCTACTCAATTTAGTACAAGTATTTCTTTCACATATACAAAGCTATAATACACGTAAATAAAATGAAATCAGTGCCTAGTTAAAAATAATGGTTATCACTATTGTGACATTTTATATATACATTAGAGGATCGAAGACTAAAATAGACATTTATGGTTTGATTTAATTCATAAAAGCTTTTCAATTTAGGCATATTATAAATGAACATTTTCTTTGTTTTTTTTTCTGCTGCCCTACACTGAACAATTTATTTTTTGAATAACCATTTATTCCAGAATTCCCATTGAGAACCTATAATGAACAAGACATATGCTAGCTATTTTGAGAAAATCAAAGAAGAGTCAGACCTGGGCTTTCCCTGAAATATGGGTGAATATACTTAAATAAAATGTACAGTCTGAAGTCATAAAAGTTAAGAGAGAAGTAAAATAGCAAAAATATTGAGAAAAATCTAGCCATCCATGTTATAGGGATAACTAGTTATTCTCCAAGTATGGTTGCCAGACTGCCAGGTTGAACATCATCTGGGAACATTTTGGAAATCAAATTCCTAGGCTTCATCACAGACCCACTAAATCATAAAATCCAGAGATGGGGTTCAACTGTCTGTGCTTTATTGAGCCCTCCAGATGGTTCTGATGCAGGCTAAAAATTTGAGAACTACTGCTCTATGATACTTTCACATAACTTAATATTGAACATTTATTTAAAAGAATGAGACAGCTCTGTAGAATTGTCAGAAATATATGTGTTTATGTGTTTGTCTATGTTATATAAAATATATTTAGGCTTTGCATATGTTTGAGATATCTCAAGAAGGATACATATAAAATTGGAAGAGGAAATAGAATAGGCCCAGAGAAAGAATTATTTTTAATTTTATACCCTCTTTTGCATTTTTAAATTTGTGCCATTGCTTATGTAAATTCTAGTCATAAAAATTAATTAAAAAGGCAGAAAACATTTTTTTCATAAATATTGAATCATTATTTACTTTTGAATATTAAATAAAAATGGATATCTTTCAGGGCACCTGGGGGGGCTCAGCCAGTTGAGAGTCTGACTCTTAATTTCCATTCAGGTCATGATCTTGAGATAATGAGATAGAGCCCTGCATTGGGCTCCATGCTCAGTGGGGACTCTGCCTGGGATTATCTCTCTCCCTCTCCCTCCCCTTCCCACCTGAAAGCACACACTCTCTCTCAAATAAATAAATAAATCTTTTAAAAAGATGAATATCTTTCAAATATGTTTATATAATACAAAAACATAATTATGTTCATATGCTCAAAAATCACTTAAAAATGAGGAAATTCTTTAACTACCTGTGTTAAAGGTTAACATTAAAACAAAATGCTAAATGTATATTAGAATAACATATACTCATTAAACATACTCATTCAAGAACACCTGAAGTTTTAAAAAGTAGGAGAAAAATATCATCTATGCACCACTACTGATACATTTTCTCTGAAGGCTTTTAAAAAATATTCTTTTGATTAATTTTTAAAAATCACTTTTAATCATTGTCCATATAATTTTTTATATTTATTCACTTAAGGTGTTTTGTTGTTTTTGTTATCTTTATTTATCTTAAACCAAACAATTTAAATAGCAATACAATAATCCTCAAAGGGGATACTACATATTGCCACTTGTTGGATATTTACTTTGCTTCCATTTTACTTTTGCTTTTTTAAGTTGTGCAGTAATGAACATTTGGTGTAGAAAGAATTTTTTAAAAATGTAGGATTGTTTCATTTGCACGATCACAGAAGTAAATTATTAGGATAAAATATAATATTTCTCTTTGGTTGTAAAAGAGATGAATTTGATTATTATCTTATGTGGATAATATATATGAGTGCTTATTGTCTCCCTCAATTTAGCATCAATAAAATACTTTTCTACTATCCAGATTAGTGCTTGCTTCGGCAGCACATATTCTACTATCCATATTAAACACCTAATGTCGTTTTCATGTCCTAGAAGAAAAAGACAAAGAGAAGTAAAATTTAACATAACTCAAAACATTAATAATGAAATGGGTTAATTTCTCAGAAATTCAAAAATGATCCAAAAAAAAAGCTATGCACAGAATTTTAGCAGTAAATGTAACCAGAGAGTAGCAAGCATATCTATTTTATTTTTCTGTAAGGAGAAACTAAGATACCAGTGAAGATAAATGACTTAAAACCTAGTAGTTTATTATCAAATGTACATTCAATATATGAAGGTAATTTGATAGGCAATTTATATAAGTCTCACACCACTAATAAATCCCACATTGCTTCACTCTTTAGTTCTCAGTTGTTCTGAAACTAGTAAAAATTATGAAGTCATAAACAATCAAGGACAAAGAATTTATTTTGCAGAAGAGAGAAGTAATTGCTTCCTCCAATACCTCTGTGGATCTTCAGGATCTTTTACCATGACAATATATGATAAATTAGGCTGTGATGTCATTACTGTGCATAAAGCTTTAAGAAACTGCTACCTAAAAAAGGTCAGTAAATATTATTTCTATATGATTTAGAATGTATTTGAGTTCCTTCAGAAAAGCCTCAAAACTGAGCAGTCTGTTAAAACACTGGGTTTGGCTACGAAGAATTTTCTGGAATGAAGCATATTAAAGAGAAAATTATATATTTCTACCACATATCTGCAGAGTAAAAATAATATACAACACTGTAAATATTTTTCAGGCAGTCACCATCACAAGATGTTTAGATTTTTAGAAGTCTTCTATCCAAACTACTGTTTTTTATTTGCATTTCTTTGTATGTGCTTCTTAGGTATTGAATGGAGTGCAGCAAATCAGGGGCTGGGAAGTCCCATCCTATTTTCAGCTGTTTTTCTCAGACTGGTCCTTTTAGCTTTCACTGAGTGGGATCCCATTCTTTCCTTTCTTGTTAGTGATATCTGGATTCCTTGGATCTCAGGAATGTCTTGTTGTTGTCATTTTGTTTCACTACATCTACTTCTATTTTGAGATGTGGAGCTATAATTTTTTCCATCTACTTTTGATAGAGTTTGATAGTGGTTTGGTTTTGTTCAGCTATCATACTTGTTCTGTTCTTTTCAGAGAGGTTTGAGAAGATTCACAAACTACATCACCACTGCCACCTTCTTGACTTAGCATCTTCATTTATATTTGAAATGAATAATACTTATATATGGTGGAAGGAAGAAAGGAAAGAAGGAAGGAAGGGAAGAGGGAAGAAAAGAAGGGAAAAAGAAAGAGCGAGGAAAAAAAGAAAAATATTCTGGGGAAACAATACCTCTCAAACTCTTGTCTCTTACACCTCCTATATTCCTCTTATATTCCTCCTCAGAGGAAACCACTTTTATGAGTTTAAATATTCTCCCAGAATTATTCTATGAATATTTGTGTAGTGCATACATATGTATGGCATACATGTGTCTTTTTAACATAAGTGGCAGATATTTTTCTACAATTTGGGGGGCAGGCAGAGGAAGAAGAGAGAAAATCTTAAGCTGGGCATGGAGCCTGACTCTGGGCTTGATCTCACAATTCGGAGATCTTGTCCTGAGCTGAAACCAAGCCTCGAAACTAAACCAACTGAGCCACCCAGGCGCCCCACTACTTCTTCTTCTTCTTTTTTCCTTTTAAGATTTTATTTATTTGACAAGCACACAGAGAGAGAGAAAGCACAGGCAGGGGGAGTGGCAGAGAAAGAGGAGAAGAGGCTCCCCACTGAGCAGGGGCTCAGTGATGTGGGGCTCAATCCCCAGACCTCGGGATCATGACCTGAGCCAAAGACAGAAGCTTCACCTACTGAGCCACCCAGACACCCTCAGGTGCTCCACTTCTACAATTTTCTAACACATACACTATAACTTGAAGATTATATCAGTATGTATAAGGGCTTCTTCCATTCTTACAAATGGCTGGATAGTAACCATCATGTGTATGGTATACTATAATTTAACAATCAATCTCTGAGCTGGGCTTTGAATCACAATAAACGAAGTATTTCAGTGAAATCATATTTACATTTGCATAGAGGGACAAAAGTTCTTGGCATACTGGTAATAAAAAAAATTGGGGGTGTGACTATATTTTAAGTCATGTCTTATGGACATGGCAATTAAAAAGTGATCTTCATAACCACCTAAAAATTATCCCCCATTTGCAAATAGTGAATTTCAGAGAGTTTAGTATCCTGTCCACATTTCACGTAGTGAGCGACCTGTAGCATCAAGCCTCACCTCAAGGGTCTCAGTATCTAAATCCTGAGGATTTTTCGCTTCCACATCCATGCCCAAATATAGGACATGCCTTAAACACAGGAAGTTCTCGTCATCTATGTAAAATATGGTAAGAGGTAGCATAACTAATTTGTTGCTCACAAATCAAATCTCCTTTGATCAATACTACATTTCTCAATCTTTTGTAGCTACAAGTTGAGGCTCCTCCTGGTGAAAAATTGGATATGTATACCAATACTTTCACCCATTTTTGCCAATGTTTAAAATAAAAAATGAGAATAAGAAGGATATAATGAAAATAAGAGGGCCGTTTGTGGTTTCCAACTGTCTCCAGGATCTAAATTTTATGGTGAGTAGTTATGTTTTAAGATAATCATGTTCAAATTAGTTATTTGGTTATTTTGCAATACATTATTAAATTTAATTAAGATAATATAAAAACATGTTATCATGATGTTATAACTATTTGGCTATTTTTTAAATTGAATTTCTAATACATGGTTTCCTTGCATCATTAAGCCCTACATGTTTATGCAGCTTTTAAGACATCTTTTTAAGCTATATTTCAGGTATATAATTATCAAACAACAAATTTTATATTTAATACTTCAAGGAATATTGGAAGAGAAAAATAAACTTTATGGCAATGAACAATGACATAATTGGGCATTAATTATAAATAATATATTAATGTTAATTTTTGTAAAATTCTGAAACTGTTATGATACAATTTTGTTCAATTTTTTAAAAAATATTTTATTTACTTATTTGAGAGAAAGGGAAAGAGCACAAAGGGAGGAAGGGGCAGAAGGAGAGGGAGAAGCAGACTCCCCATGAGCAGGGAGCCTGATGGGGAAGCTCAATCCCAGGGTCCTGGGATCATGAGTTGAGCCAAGACAAATGCTTAACTGACTAAGTCACCTAGGTGCCCCCAATTTTCTTAGATTTTTATGTGTTTACTTATATATTTCTCAGATTATGGCCAACATTCAGATAATAATTTGGGAAGTTAACTACTAAAAATACTAAATACAGTTAATAAAATAAAAAACCCACTACACTTAGTTAAATCTGGATTCTTAAACAGCAGAAAATATTGTCTTGGTTTGATAAGACATTTGATTTGAAAAAAGTTCTGTTTCTCAGTCTTTTATTAAAGACAGGTTTTCTTGTTTTTTAAATATCTGAAATGATGTCTACCTGATTTTTTTCCTTCTCTAAAATTATGTTAATTCAGTTTAGTCAAACTGATTCTGATTGGCACCTGCATATGTGATTAAGCAAACATATTTAAGCAAATGAATTACAACAATAATATGGTTAGTTTGAAAAACTTGAATAAACTAAGCACACGGGACTCTAGTCTTTATTTGAAGTTGAAAACCAATGTAACAGAGTGGTCTATGCGTAAAACTCTAGAAGCCAAAGCTACCTTGGCTCATTATTAATGACATCAAAAAATAAAATGCTTTCAGTGCATTGTTTCATATCTCACATTATAATAAATTCTACTTTATTCAGGTATCTTCAGAACTTTCTCTGAGGAGCATGAAATACTTCCTCTTTCTTCTAAGTTTGAAGCAAGGTCATGTTATAGTGGGCATTCTTGGGTAAGCTCTAAGGATAAGAAGGGAGGGTCACAATTCTGTGAAAAATTCATCTTGGGCAGGAATGTGGACAATGCTTTCAACACTTTTGGTTATGAAGAAGAAGAAAGACATAAAGGAGTAGCTAGTTACAGGTAAACTATGGTAAAGGAAATAAGCCAATCATCTCAAGTCCAAAATTTAAGAAAGCACCAAAAAACTTAGTAATTAAGGTAAATGATACTTGAATGTAATCCTTTTAAATCAAAATTAATGCAAATCCTTTATGAACAAAATTTATAAACAAAAATTTAAGTTCAAACAGAAACTGACGAGGTGCCTGGGTGGCTCAGTGGGTTAAGCCTCTGCCTTCGGCTCAAGTCATGATGTCAGGGTCCTGGGATGGAGCACAGCATTGGGCTCTCTGCTCAGCAGGGAGCCTGCTTCCCCCTCTCTCTCTGCCTGACTCTCTGCCTACTTGTGATCTCTCTCTGTCAAATAAATAAATAAAATCTTTAAAAAAAAGAAAAAACAACAACAGAAACTGACTTACACTTATATGACTTGCCTCACTGTTTTACCCTACTCCTTTCCCTGGCTGAAGGGGGCACAGGTATGGAAGGTATTTTTATGAAAGATATGTCCTTAGCATGTTTAGATTTTAAAGAAAAGGAACCAAACGGGAGGGAAAGTGTGGAGAAACAGCAGAAGTTAAATATTTGATGAATCCTCTCTCTTGCTTGGTATAGGACCTAGCACACATGTAGGAAAGCCTCATATGGGCACCGAAATAGTCCATTCATCATAACAGGAAAGAAGTAGGGAGTGTTGACAAAATACAATACCACACAGGTCCACTTATATTTATATTTTTGTCAATAAATATGTATATACTAATATAAATGTATTTTCTCTTATGACTTAACATTTTCTTTTCTCTCACTTTATTATAAAAATATACTATATGGTACATATAACATACAAAATACAGTGTTAATTGACTGTTTATGTTATTAGATATGATAAATTTCTAGGGTTAGCTTCTGGAAGTTTAGTAAGTTCCTGTCCAGTAGCTTCTATTTTCTCTGCAATGTAAAATATAAGATATTTTCCTGTGGATGAGGGGGAATGGTATTGTCAGGTATGAAAACACGGAGGAAATTTTGACAAAGTTACATCAAACTCTTCCATGTTTTTCTTTACCCAAATTCCTTAACATTACTTACAAGGCTATGTATGATCCATCTCTGCAAACCTCTCTTTTCGCACTCATTTTCAGCCACTAGCTCCCACCCTCCATTCCCAACTCAGGGCCTTTTCCAGGACCTGTTGCTGACTCTAGGATGCTGTCACTCTGCCTACTCCTGTGTTCACTAATTCCTACTGATCCTCTACATCTCATTAAATGGTGCTTTGCCTAAGAGACTTCCTCTAAAATCACCTCTCCTAATTTTTTTAGTCTGCCTGTTATCTCCCTACTGTATTCCATTACATCACCCTACATTTTCCCTCATGGCATTCATTACCGGACAGGCAGTAGGATTATCATATATTTACTGTCTTCTACTTACATGAGTGTCCCTTATGTTGAGAAATAAATATAGTTGGTATGAGAAGTGATGCTCTAGGGAATTTAGATGAGTAGAGAGAAAATTAAAATCTCTTAAGAGTTAACTGTATAAAAGAGCTGAAAAGCTAGTGGTTTTCATTTGTAAAGTTGATTTTCAGATCAAATTTAAGGAAATTACATTTATTAAGCATATATATTAATATAATTTATATATGCTATCATATATAAAATACGATATAAATCATATATAGTTGGCCTTTGAACACCACAGGTTTGAACTGCATAGGTCCATTTGCATGCAGATTTTTTCCAATAAATATATGTGCAGCACCATAAAGATTTTTTCTTATGATTTTCTTAATAACATTTTCTTTTCTTTAGCTTGCTTTATTATAAAAATACAGCATATAATATATATAACATATAAGATATCTATTAACAGACTTTATGTTATCAGTAAGACATTCTGGTCAACAGTAGGCTATTAGTTAAGTTTTGGAGGAATCAACAGCTATACACAGGTTTTTAACTGTACAGGGGTGTCAGCACTCCTAACCCCTGTGTTATTCAGGGGTGAGCTATATAATCAGTTGTATACAATCAATTTGAAAATCTCCTTTTAGGTAGATATTGTCTATAGTGTTTTTCCAAGCTATTATGTGTCTATATTGCACATTCTATTTATTACAGGATACAATCAGCATGATTATAACTTATATGGGTCGTATTTAATTACTAAAATTGATATAGGAATACCTGTTTTTTTATTTTAGAGATTTTATCTAAGATTGTATATTTTTTTCTTTCAGTTATTGTCTCTGGATGAAGAAGTAGTTATTGGTAAGATTTCAAAAGGATGGGCTGGATTTATTAGGGAATTATCTACCAGTGCTATTAAATTTGGAATCCAGTTTCCATTTGATCTTGATGTTAAGATAAAAGCACTGATGCCTGGATCAAGTTTCCTCATTGTGAGTCTATTTTTATTCTATTTAGCTTAAAGGGGAATTTTCTGAGATTACCACTGCACCTTTGCTAATAATTTTCCTAGAATCATCTAGATCAACTGCAAATTGTCCTTTTTGGGTCTAGTTCTAAGCCCCCAAAATCATATCATGGATTCAGTGTTCACATTGCAAAGGATGTAAAAACTAGAGTGTCCTATAAATGTGACCACTGAAGTTGAAATCCTTTGAGTTGATGAAAAACAGGACTAAATTGCTGAAAACTAGAACAAAATGGCTTGTTCATTGTAACTTAGTTATTTCCTACAATTTAAAATTTTATAAGTATCTTTTTGTACATTTCATTTAAAAAGTAATCATTCTTAATTTGGAAACTATAGATATAACTTGCAAGTTAAAAAAATGGGAAAATTAGATTTTTAAACTATCCATAGGCTCTTAATAGGAAATTAATCTAAAATAATGACAAAAAATGAGAAGTAAGAAAAGATGGCTTAAAGTATAATGGAAAAATACTAACCACAAGAGCTAGTAAAACTAAGTTAATACCAAAAAAATTTTGATTTTAAGTCAAAAAACTTAGTAGGGAGAAAATAAGTAAATAACAATAAAAGTTCTATTCAAAAGAAAATAATAATTCTTAAATTTCATGCACTTAAGATCAACCTCAAAATATAGAGAAAAATGTTATATAGTTAGAGAATGGTAAATTCATTATCATAGTGGGAAATGTATGCATCCCTTTCAATTTTTACTCGGTGTAAGAGACAGAAACTTCAGTAAAATTATCCAAAATTTGAACAAAAAAATTAACAAGGTTGATTTAATGGATGCATGTAGAACTTTGCAATAAACAAGTAGATAATATAAGTTGTTCTCAAACAAATGTTTTTAAAATAATTATTTTCATTATGGATCCAAGAAACAAGTCTCAACAAATTTCAGGAATTGGTATCACTTGGACCTTGGTGTCAGAGCAAATAACATTAAATTAGAAATTGATAAAGAAACATATTTTATCCTCAAAAAGTTGAAAATAGAGCTACCCTACCACCCAGCAATTGCACTACTGAGTATTTACCCTAAAGATACAAATGTAGTGATCCGAAGGGGCACGTGCACCTGAATGTTTATAGCAGCAATGTCCACAATAGCCAAACTATGGAAAGAAACTAGATGTCCATCAACAGATGAATGGATAAAGATGTGGTATATACATACAATGGAATACTATGCAGACATCAAAAGAATGAAATATTGCCACTTGCAATGACATGGATGGAACTAGAAGGTATTATGCTTAGCGAAGTAAGTCAATCAGAGAAAGAAAATTATGATCTCCCTGATATGAGGATGTTGAGAGGAAATGTGAGGGACTTGGGGGTAGGAAAAGAATAAATGAAACGAGATGGGATCAGGAGGGAGACAAACCATAAGAGACTCTTAATCTCACAAAACAAACTGAGGGTTGCCGGGGGGGGGGGGGGGGGGGGGGGGAAAGGGTGATGGGGCTGTGGACATTGGGGTAGGTATGTGCTATGAAGTGTCTAAACCTGGCGTTTCACAGACCTATACCCCTGGGGCTAATAATACATTATATGTTAATAAATAATAAATTATATTAAAAAAGAAAGATATTTTAAAATATTTTATATATATACAAATAAAATATTTTTTGTACAAATATACAAAATAAAATATTTTGTATATATAATTCAGGGATTAAAAAGTAATATATAATAAAATTTAAAATATGTCAAATTATGTAATAACTAAAATATGATATAAAAACTTTTGGAATGCAAGTAAAGTTAAGCAGCAATGTGTAACTATAAATACTTATGAAGAAAAGAAGAAGAGTAGAAAATTAATGAGCTAAGTATTCATCTCTAAAAAGTGAAAGAACAGAACAAACCCAAAGGAACTATAAGGAAGGAGATATTGAATTACTGACCAAAGATAAATGAACAAACAGCACCCATGGAAAAGAATTTTTAAAGTAAGTAAATCACAAAGTAACAGACTACTAAATTAGAATTTCTTAAACTTCTGTACCCTAAAACAAATTATAATATTAAATATTCAATAGAAAACAACAAAGTAAGGAAATATATACTCCAGGTATGACAAAGAATAATATCCTTATATTAGTATAAATTTTATTTAAATGAGAAGAAAAATATTAAATTCCCAACCAAAATGAAAAATGAATATAAAAAAATTCATACAACCATAAAAGAGGAAATACAAATAACCCATAACCATAAAAAATATTTTCAAAAACGTATGAATGGAAGCAAAAAGAAAGAAAAATGAAATATCCCTTTTCTTTCTCCAATGACAAACTCTCAATGTTCATGAAAGTTTAGTAAATCAGACAGTCATGAGTTACAGGTACAATTTTTAGGGACCAAACTGAAGATATCCGTTAAAGTTTTTAATGTGTATATTATTTCATATACATTAATTTCTTCTGAAAAACTAATACAGAGGCAGACAAATAATTATGCATGCTCTAATAAATAGCAATGTATACTCTAGGTAGCAAACATCACTCTAATAAATTCAAAAAAGCTAAAACAACCTAAAATTTAAAGTATGAGATTTATTAAACACATTAGGAGCTAGCTCTAAAACAGAGCATTAAAGATTCAAACTAAATGTTCAGTAAATGAACTTTAATTGCATGAGTACTCAGGACATATTATGCAGTGAAAATAATAGGATATAAGCACATTTTAATACCAATTCTGTATGTCTGGAAAGAATTTGAATCAAAATATTAACAGTAGATTGTATGGGGATTGAAAATATAACTTTTTCTCTTCCTTATCCTTATAATTTTTTATATTGAGTATATATGATGAAAAATATATAAATAAAATGAAGTAGAATTAGTCGCTGTTCTCTAAGGGCCTTTATATTCAACTTTATTATTTTGGTGTGTTTGGGAGTAGTCATTCATTCTTATTCCCTTAGAAGTTGGGAGTTCCTCATAGGTCTGATCCTCAGAATTCTGCTTTAATATGTTTTATAATCATGTTATTATAACACAGGATCCTAAAATCACTCTCATGCCTCATATCTGCACCTGTTTTTACTATTAAACCAACCTAATTACATTTATTTTTCATTTTCATTCTAGGATTACATGTACTTTGAACTCTGGTCATAAATTTTGCAAGCTTTCAGCAAAATTAAACAACTTTCACTGAGAATATTCAAATAAAGTTTTATTTCACTAAAATTATTTGTATAATTTTTTCTGCATAATAAACCACAACAAAATTTAGGAACTTAAAGTGGTATCTTATTTACCCTAGGATTCTGCTGTACAGTTCCCCAGGTCAAGACCTGGCTCACACTCTTGCATGTGCAGTCAGTCAACAGATTGGCTGGGGACTGCATCATCCCAGATGGCCTCATTCATATGCTTAGCTGTTGTCAGAGGCAATAGGAGAAACAAGTACAAAGAAAAATACGTATATTTTTCTTTGTCTAGGAGGCTAGCCAAAGCTTCTACACATACTATGTTACAAAAGCATCAAGAAAACAAACTTAAACGTTCAAGCTCATTTCAAGCCTATGCTTCAGTTATACTTACTAACATCCCATTAGCCAAAGCAAGTCACATAGCCAAGTCCAAATTCAAGGAATAGAAAAATAGACTCAACTTCCTTATGGGAGTCACTGCAAAATACTATAGTCTTTTTTTTTATTCCACCCCCCTACAATTGAATGTTGTATAATGTCACAATTAATTGACCATTAATAATAATGGTAATAATTAGGGGTCAGAAGCTGGTAAAATTGATCTAGAAGAGACCATGCAGGCATTCTGACACAGGTGAAATTGTTTGAGGAACAAAGTTTAGCTCTACTTTTATAGATGATGTGATGCTCTTCTAGCACCGTGAGGACTAGGAGCTCTGACAGCACCTACACCCAATGAGTGTCCTTGGTATGAACATCAACATTCCTATAACAGGTTATGGCATAGCTGAAGTTTCCTCAGATGATTTTTTTTTAAGATTTTTTATTTATTTATTTGACAGACAGAGATCACAAGTAGGCAGAGAGGCAGGCAGAGAGAGAGGAGGAAGCAGGCTCCCTGCCGAGCAAAGAGCCCTATGCGGGGCTCGATCCCAGGTCCCTGGGATCATGACCTGAGCCGAAGGCAGAGGCTTTAACCCACTGAGCCACCCAGGTGCCCCTCCTCAGATGATTTTAGAGATAGAAATGGAAGCAAGAGCACAAGAATCAGAGAACAGCATACACTGGGGGAACTAACAGGGAAAGACTGTTTCTGAAAACACATGGAGTATTGTCTGGCATGACTCGATAACATTACAAGGAGTGGCTGGGAAAATAGGGACATTCTGCTAATACCTGGTAGGAAGCTACTGAGCCAGCAGGTATTTGAGTTAAGTATTATTGTTATTGTTATTGATACTTTAAAGAGTATTTGATTTCTATCAGTTATTGAAAATAACAGCTATGTGAACTAGAGTGGGTTTGTTGTTGTATTTGTTTTTTGAAAGTGAAACTGCTGAGAAGCAGCATTAACTGGGTGCCTCATTTTTCTCAACTGTTGAATATGTAAATATGTGGGACTCACATATACTCACAAAATTATCAACCAATGAATACATTTGATAGGGAACAAATGAGATTTTTAATTGCCTTACAGAACCAGTCCAATAGAGTTTGAGAACAAGCTGACAAGAATTTAAAATTGTACTTCAAAATAAGATGTTATTGTGCATAAAAATATATTACCTGTTAGTCTCACCAACTATGTATGTAGATATGACACCCTATCACTTTCTGAGAAAAGTAGATGATGCTAGAAAATATCTTCCAAGTCATCCACCATAATAATTCATGGAGAGGTGAATGCTACCATTTTTGGGAAACCCCAGTGCTCCTGGTTATTAACTTCTGGCCATTCATTACAATAGTGGTCCTCAAAATTTAGCATGCATCAGAATCATCTGGAGGGATTATTAAAACTCAGAGTGCTGCACCCCAACCCCAAAGTATCTGATTCCATAAGTCTTGGTAATAATTTGCATTTCTAACAAGTTCCCAGGTGAAGCTACTGCTACTGCTGAGGGGGACTTGGAAAAATTTTGCATTAGAATAAATTTCAGCTAGATTTCTCTGACCTGCTGAAGGGACCAAGTTGAGAAGATTATGAAGGCCTACTGAACGTTTTAGAGGATCACTGGCATCATCCAAATGGCCCTATCTTCAAGCATCATGGCTGGGGGTCTTCAGGTACATCCTATAGAATGCATCATTGATTTAATAAAACCATAGCAATTATGTCAGCTCACAGGAATCATCACTGGGAACCTTTCCATCTCTACCAAGAACTTTGATATTTATTGCCTTTGAATGTGCATCTGAGTGTCAACTTTGCTGGCCATTTCTATCTTTGAATGACTGTGTTCTCAGAACTGTTCCACAACCATCATGTAGGAATCATCATTCCTAGCTATGCAATTGGATCAGTAGGCATCTGTTCCATGAGCAAATTTTCAGGATAATTTTGGACAATTATCGGTACTGAAACTCCCAGATGACTAGAGAAGTTGGGTTTTGGATTAGTTTGGCCTAGTGTGGATTCCATACATTTATAACCAAGAGTCTACTGAATGACTATCCTTTGTCTAGGCAAAAGAGTCACCTTTGTTTTTGTGCAGATATGGAACACACTGGTAGTATACCACTGCTTTCTTGGTTTTTATGTGAGAAAAACAAATGCTAGAATCAATATGGTTATAACTGCACACACTTCTTGGCCTAATACATCCTAGTTACGTATACCAATATAACCTGGATGTCACTGTCTGGAATTTAATTTGGACACAACATCAGAAATTGTTGTAGATGGTCACTTCATGACTATATATGTATCAGGTACATGTGACCATCCTATACCACTAGTACTAGTGTAAAATGCTTGAAGTCATCAAAGCAGACCTTCCTTAACTCCCTACTTTTCCATCAACAAATTCATTTGAATTCAAAGTCATACTTTTTTGTTTTGGTCTGGTTACAAAAGAAGAGGCACCTACTTTTCTTTCCCATCAAAAAGGCAACCAAACAACTGGTGTTCTGGATGCTTTCACCCTCTCAAATCATCCTACCCACTCAATGACTCCTTTCTCTCCTTTATCTTCAATCTCCCTCTCTAGAGCAGAATGTTATTCAAAGTGTGGTCTTTGAATCAGCAACATTAATGTAATCTGGGAGTTTCTTAACAAGACAAATTCATAGGTTCTACTCTAGACTATCTGTTTTAAAAAATTCTCAGGTAATTTTGTCACTCAAGTATGAGAAGTACTAGAATAGTGCAGTGGCTCTCAGACTTATCTACACATTGGAATCCCTTGAGAGCTTAAGAAGCTGTTGATGCTTTGGACCTATCTCCAGAGATTTATTTCATTCATCGAAGATACAGCCTGGGTTCTGGACTTTTTTTTAATAGATTTTTCTTAAGAGCAATTTTAAGTTCATGGCATAGAAATTTCCCATCTGCCTTCTGCCCCCACATACACACAGGAATTTTTCAAAGTTCTCCAGGTGATTTTCATGTATAGTCAAGTTTAGGAACTACTCTCAAAAATACTTTTTATCAGTATTTAAATAGCATTTCTTATTTTCCTCAAATTCCCTTCAATCATATATCTACCTCTAAAATTTTGTTGTTCTTTCATATATAAACTTGAATATTCTCTTTCTCCACTTCCTTACCTTCTATTTACAACCCAGTTCACTGTGATTCTCCTTCATTTCCACCATTTTCTTATGGTGGAAAAAGCAAAAGATACTTTTAGACCTTACCTTACTTGACTGCTCTGGGCATTTGGTGCTGATTTTTGAACTCTTCCCTTTCATTTGGTTTCCAGATAACCCAATATCTGGAGTTGATTCCCCACCTCTCATTTATTCTGTCTCTTAGACTTCCTCCTGTGTCTATCCCTTAAATGCTGATGTTCCTCAAGTTCACACCTCAGGCTCTCTTCTGGACTATCTAGTTGCCACATGGCAAGAAAATTGGGGTTATACAGAGAATTTTTTTAAATTAACATTTAATGTATTAATGAATAGCATGTGAATAGTCTAAAAAGTCACAGATAAAGACTTAGAGGTTTCTGGCTATGCTGCATTTTCCACAAAAACAAACAAAAATAACTCGTTGGTGTTAGGGCCGATTTAATATTAAAACCTGTTTAACTATTAGGGCCTGCTTAGCCAGAGTGACTCCATATTGCCTAGGTAGCCATATCGTTGTTTATATCCATGGACTTCATTCCAGGAATAAACGAGCCAGTAGTTCCTGGTATGGTTCCGGGTTTCAATTCTGGGAGTAAACACCCTAAGAATAGAAGCCACGTACCTTGAGGTCTGCAGTTATGCTCTGTAAAACCAGCCTGTGAGATCAGGACAGGGTCGCTCTCTTCGGAGGCAGCCCTGGCCGGTCAGTCTGACTTCTAATGCTTGGCATAGAATAAAGCTTTGCATAACTTTCACTTTGTCTCAGTCTCATTCCTTTGATAATGGACCCCAAGAGTTGGGATTTTTGTTTGGAATTTCATTGAACCCACAGATCAATTTGAGGAGAAATGATACTTTAACAATATTAGAACATCCAATCTGGGAACATGGTATATCTGTCTTTTATGTAGGTCTTTATTTCTCTCACGTAGGTTTTATATTTACCAGAACAGAGATTTTATGTGTTTTTCATTTCCTTGTTTTATTAGATATTTGATTTTTGGTGATAATTGTTTTGGTGCTGTTGTACATGGCATCTTTTAAATTAAATTTTCTAATTTTTGTTTCTAGTATATGGAAATACAAATCATTTTGTGTATATTAATTTGTATACTATCATCTTGATAAATTTACTTATTAGTTTTAATAGTTTCTTTGTAGAGTCTTTTGAGTTTTTTATACATATAATTGTCATTAGTCAATAAAAATAATACTTTACAGTTCCCAATCTATGGATTTGCTTTTTTTTCTTGCTTTTTTGAATTGGATAGGGCCTCCCATATTATGGCGAATAAAAGTATTGGCAGTAGACTTCTTTGCTTTGTTTCCAACTTTCCTTAAGGGAAAATTTTTTGGTATTTCATTCATATATAGTTAGCTCTAGGTTCT